ATTGGAAATGCTCAAGCCAAAGTAGACAGTTAAGATTTCAATCTCTGATCCCTCTGTGCAGAGTAGGGGAATAAGCACTTCTGAGCAGGGGCGGCCATGCTGTTCTGACAGTGATTGTTCTGGAGAAAGATGGAATCGTATCTTTAAGAAAAAGAAATGCAGGAACTTCCCTATCCTTAGGGCTCAGAACCGCAATAGCAGCCACATGGCCAAGGGTGAGATGTGCTTTGTTAGGCTGCCCTAGAAAGAAGCCTTAACCAACCTCTCTGCTCATAGAGTCTGGTTCTTAATTGAAAGTGATCAAACTGGCAGAGGCCTGGCCTCCTACTTGCTTCAAGGGTGGCTCGAGGGGTGCCCAGAAATTTACATGTTGAGACTCTCCAAGTAAAAATACCAGTTCTTGTAAAAGTCAAAATTAAAGCCAATACATATTTACATTTTAAACCATCAGCAAAGAAAACTACATCCAAGCTATATTACAGGTGAGTTTCATGAGCTACTCAGACTTCATCTACTTTAGAAGACATTTAAGTGGTATTTCTTAGATTTATAAAGGGTCTCAGAGAAAGAGGATATTCCAAGGGACTTTATACCAAAACACCTTCTTGTGTTGTATTTTGAATTATTTATTTGGTTGTACATTTCCTCCACTAAACCAGGAGCTCCTTGAGGTCAGTGGAATGGAATGAAAAACACATGGACTTTGGTATGATTTGACCATGTGTTTAACTACTGGCTGTGTGACCTTGGACAAGTATTTAACTTTCTGAGCTTTGTTTTTGTTTAATCTGTGACACCTTCTGGAAACTATTCTGTTCAAACCTGCCACATATTAGACACATGGTACTTATATGTGCAGTGAATTAAGATAATAATTAATTCATTAATGTTTCCATGTGTGAAAGGATTTTCAGTGATATTTATTAGTATCAGTGTGATGGTGAGTTTAAATGGGTTACATTGAACTGTAAGATATGCTTTAGATAAATCATATGATGATAGAGCTGAAGGTTGTTTAGAAGTAATTTCAGACCAGTTCATCTCAGCAGTGCAGGAGAGAGGGCATTTCAGGTTCTATGCATGCTAGGTTTTCTCCAGAGGGGTTCTAGAATGGTTTGAAATTTTGTTACAAGCCATACTATGGTACTTATTTATCTGTTCTTATACAGTATTAAACTATTATTGATTATTTCTCTCCTAGTCTCTATCCAAGTTAAGAACAAATTTTTTTCAGTCAAATGATTCTATCAGCAAAGGATGAAAGTTACCTTAGTTTCCATGACTTTTTAAGGCCAACAGGGTCCAACACCAGGCCTGTGATGCACTGTGCTTTTGATTTGTTTTTTAAATATATTTTTATTGATTTCAGAGAGGAAGGGAGAGGAAGAGAGAGATAGAAACATCAATGAGGAGAGAGAATCATTGATCGGCTGCCACCGGCACTTCCCACACTGGGGATAGAGTCCACACCCAAGTATGTGCCCTGACGGGAAATCGAACCGTGACCTCCTGTTTCATAGGTCCATGCTCAACCACTGAGCGCCATGCCAGCCAGGAGGCACTGTGCTTTTGTACTAAGCCTTATATTAGACGGGGTACAGTCACATAAGGAATTAAAGTGGAGTTGAGGAACAAAATAAAGAGAATTCATTACTTTAGAAGAAATTTTTGTCTCATTTGAAATTACTGTCCGTGATTATCCACTGTTTAATGACTTAAGGGGTCACAAGATAGAGGAACCAAGATATACAGGGTAACTTAAGACCTTCAGTGTTTTTTAGTCAACTGGTGTCTTTATGGTGGTTAATTTAAAAAAGAGGACTAACTTCAGCTGGGAAGATATGTTTGCTGACAGAAGTTTGTGGAAAGGACTGACTTTAAAAAGAGCTACTTGTTTGAAGCAAGGAAAAGGAGCTCCACAGACAAATATTGTCAGAGTGCAAGGCCTGCGGTTAAGTTCAGATGAATGAACCCATCACAGGAAGAGTAAGCACAGGAAGACTAAGCGGTTTTGTCTGAGAAGTAGAAAAAAGGTATTATTTGTGGAAGGTTTATGAAATAGAGTGAGCACTGTTAATGAAATTTTATTACAAAGATGGGTTTAACTTTTAAATGTAAAAATACAGAAAATGCTCCCTTCTACCAGTCCCATTCTGTTCCATCAGCAGACCTGAGGAGGCAGTTTAATAGATGAGAAGTTGGTGCTGACTCCAGACTCCCTCCATTAGGATAGCTGCAGGGATCAAGACTTCGCCTGGATTGCATTATTTTCATGCACAGGGTCACATCTTGGTACTGGTTCTCATACATTGGTGACAAGCATAAATTGTCTTATACTTAGTTTTGTGATCTGTAAAATTGTCTTGGGACAAAAAATTAATAAATAAAAAGCCCATGCATGCATACACACACAAATCTATCTGAATATTCTCCAAAATGCCTCCACTGTATACACCCTCCTATTTTGAAAATTGACCCATATTCATTTTTATATATGCAAAGTTGCCAAGGCAATTAACTGAACCCAATTTTATCTTTGAAACTTTTGCTGACATTACAGGAGGAGAGCTGCCTTATTATTAAACATAAAACTTCACTTTCTTTACATCTGATGATAAATGATATATCACTGAGAAAAAGTGTCATGATTTTTTTAACATTACAAAATTGGATGGAATTTGAACCTTTATTCCTAAAAATAAAATGATTAGATTACAATAATTGTCTCATAAATTTTAGATAACATCCTCAAATGGCAAATCTGTCATTGTCTGATAGATAGTCCCCAAATCCTATTATAACAATTAGGAAGCTGGAACACCATCTATTTTATTTTCCATTATGTCATCTTGCCTGGCATGAAAATTGAAAGAGCACTGGATATCTGAATATAGTTCTCTAGATTGGAAAGTGGGCTGCAATGGTAATTGGGAGTCATATTCTAGTCCTTCTAGGACTAGACAAACAGCTGCAAGAACTTGGGCCAATCACCTAACATCTATATATTTTTATCACTTCTAAAATAAAGAGGCTGAACTAAATGATCCATTCTGCATCTAAAATCAAGTCTTCCAGATTTATCATGTCATCCAGAATCCAAGCATCGAACTCAGGAAACTGGGAGTCTTTCTAGATCAATACAATATATGACTATGATCTACATGTAAGCATCTCCTCATTTCTAATTAATTGATCTAGACCTTCCTCTCTCTTTTTTTAGTATAGTTTTATTGATTTTTAGAGAAGGGAGAGGGATAGAGAGATAGAAATATCAATGATGAGAATCATTGATTGGCTGCCTCCTGCATACCTCACACTGGGAATCGAGCCCAGGCATGTTCCCTGACTGAGAATCGGACCCTGACCTCCTGGTTCATAGCTGGCTGCTCAACCACTGGGCCATGCTGGCCAGGCTAGACCATACTCTTTTGTCTACACTACTGGCACAGGCTTTTACCTGCTCTTCCTCTGCTTCTTTAGTGTGGCTGATCTCCAGTATCTCTTGCCATACAGCTTGGGAAATCTTCCTAAAACTGAAAGCTAATGATGACACTACCCTATTTAGAACAATTTAGTAGTTCTACCTAAATCCTTTGCATTCAAGGCTCTTCATTTTCAGTCTTCCCTCTACCTCTTTCTAGCCTCAGTGCTCATCGTAATATTAGACTCATACTGGATCACCTTGACCTCCTTCCCCCCTGAATACATTACTTAACATTTTTCTGAAGGCACCAGGGAGACTAAATCTTGATATTTTTGTTCAAGTGGCTTTCACTCTCTAGGCTACTCTGCTTCCTGCGGTGAATTCTAATGAACTATTTCCCTTCAGAGTTATCTTAAGCATCATTCTACTCCAGGGGCATTATTTTTCTTCTTTATTATTTTTTAATTTCTCAATTACAGTTTACATTCAGTGTTATTTTGTATCAGTTTCAGATGTACAGTATCTTGGTTAGACAATCATAGACGTTACAAATTGTTTTCCCAAACCTAGTCCTCAATGTCACTAACCATCAGAGAAATGTAAATTAAAGCCACAATGAGATATCACTTCAAGGGCATTCTTGCTCCTTTCCTCACTCCACATTACCTCTTCAAGTAAGAATTGATTACTCTGTTTTGCCCACTGCCTTATACTTATATCACAGCACCTATTTCATTTTATTGCTGAATATAATTATGTGTATTATAAGTGCATTATCCCATTTTTATTTTTATTCTTAACTCTTTGAGAATTAGAGCTTATGGGCTTAACATTGACAATAGAATTCATGGGAACATCCTTTGTAAAGGTAAACTGCTTGCTAATTCATAGACAGCCTTTGAAGGCACCATGATTTTTAAAATATTTTCTTGACTGCATTTTTTGCATCTACAGAGAATATAATTATGTGACTTTATTATCAGAATAGAAAATACTGGTTTAGAATGTACAGGGAGATGTGTATCCAATCATTTGGAGAATTAATGTTTCTACTTTATTTATTTCAATGGTCTGATATAAAACTTGGGATACATTTGGAGTTGTCTTAACCCAGGTTAAGAAAAGGGCTGTTTTTCATGTGAAAGCTTTAGTAACTTCTTCATTAGATTCTGATATTATTTAATGTCTTTTTGACTACTACCATGTACTTACAAGAACCAATTGTATATGTGCTGCTTTCACAATAACATTTATTTTTCACATGTTCTTTCTTGTGATCATAAACTCAAAATGTCTTCCTGCATTTTCTTTTTATTTTTTTCCCCTTTAACAATTTAATGAGCAACATCTCAGTCACTCACTGTATCAGGAACCCTGATAATTAAACACACACACACACAGAGAAAACACAAAGGAACTGAACTTTGGGGGTTTATATTCTAAGAAGAGGAAAATAATAAAGAACCATTTATTGCAATATGGTATCAATTATAATATTAAAAGAAGATGTCAAAGTCTTCTTTTTGTGGTCATATTTTGGCAGGATTTTAAGACTAATGCAATTCAGCATGCAGACAAAAGGAAGACGGTATTTCCGGTAGAGGAAGGAATAGACCAAAACACTTAAAGGTAAGAGAGTACCACCTTCAGCTTGTCCAAGGTACAGAGTTTGTTTAGGGAGTGGTAGGCAAAACACAAGGCAGAAGAGTTGATCATAGGTGAGTTTATGAAGACCCTTGCTGCTATGCTAAGAAAGATTGCAGCCTGATACAGTTTACAGAAAAAGGAAGCATTGAAAACACATTAATAGGGAAGGGATGTGTCAAAAGTATCTTTTAAACTGGTTAACTCATCTGTAGCATGGTATGAAAAATGAAGCACAATTATGGGACTCCTATAATATTTCAAGTGAAGTTTGATCAAGTTCACATAACATAGTACTGCTAGGAAAAGAGAAGGGACCTAAGGAATTGTAAAAGAGGTAACAATGGGTTTGTGACTCAGTAGATGTAGGAAATGGAACAGTATTAGACATCATACTCACTTTGGATTAGGGAGACTGGAGTTGTTGAGTCCTTTAAAAAGGCAAGAGTAAAATGGGGGGAAATGAAGGAAGAAGACTTTGGGTTTATTTATGCTGTTTGGAATGCCTTAAGGCATATGTTATATTCTGAAGAAAATAGGAAATACGGATCTGTATAAGTTAATATCCTATTTGTCTCCATTTAACAGAAAACCCACCATCGGACTTAACCACACTGGTTTATTTCTCTAATAGAACAGTAAATCCAAAGATGAGAAGTGGCTGTTATTCTGCTGCAAAATAATCTTGTTGTTGTTTTGCTCATTCTGGTCACCTGCTGATTATAGGTTGGCTGCTCCATCTCTATTCTGCACTCACATTCTAGACAAGAAAGAAAAAGAAATAGAGAAAGAACTCATGGGCATGGACCACTAGTAATTGCCAGAAAGAGGGGGGTTGGGAGGAAGGGGCAGGATGGGATAGGGGGATGGGATAAATGGTGATGGATGGAGACCTTCTTTGGGTGTTGAACACACAATACAGTGTACAGATGATGCATTATAGAATTGTGTACTTTATATAATTTTATTAATCAGTGTCACCTTAATAAATGTAATTAAAAAAAGAAAAAGGATAGGAAGACAATGATAAAATCAGAAGCAAAATAGTTTCAAATTCCCCAGAAAAAGAACAATTTTTGAAATAGTGACGTGGGAAGTTTTGCAGGTGCATTCTCAAACAAAACAACCCAGACTGATGATATTTTTTAAAAAACAAAAAAAAACAAAACCTCAACCATTGAAAGTATCTGGAAGCTGTTTTAAAGATATGCTGCAAATAAATTTCTTGAATTACTTATTCAAGAAAATCAAATAAATCTGTAAAAAGAATAAGAGTGTATGTCACTTGAGCTACAAAGAGCCATCTCAGTTCCCAAACACCCAGCTCATTGTGATGGAAGATCCACCTTGGGTACATGTGGCCAAAAAGGCGAGACTCACTTCCCAGTCAGCTGCAGCCAAGGGCTACAGCATCTCTGGAGAAGGGGCAGGCCATGAGCATTTCTCATCTGTCCTAGTGCTATGTTGCAGAAGCTAAATCCTGGTCAAGTTCATGGGGTCCCTTCTCCATTTAACCCCCAGGTCTTAATGGATAGATGATAGACTGAGAATAATGGGGCCCCCGCTTTTGTCCCAGTTTACATTTAGAATTTAGGTCCTATCTTAGAAAATGTAAACTCAGAATACCAGACACACTGTCCCAGCCCAGAGTGTTTCTCTTAAAACCTGCATGTCTCCCAACAGAAATGAGACACTATCCCCATTCTCAGTTCTGAAGCAGTAGCTCAGAGATTTTACTTATAGAGAGAGGCAGGCTACACAGACAGAGACCTAAAAAGCTCTCCCCACGAAACTGATTATATTTGAGCAGAATGTGGGGAAATTGGAGCCTAAGTTGGTCCTCAACAAAGGGAGATTCTGAGATAAACAATTAAGAAGAGGCCAGAATTTCTATAAGCAATAGGCTAAATTTTAGGCCAGCAAGTTTAACAGAGAGGGCAAGGGAAAAAAAAAAGCTAAGAAGAGTCATCCTGGGGTTATAACAAACCTCAAAAACTGGCTAGGAAATATACCCTACAATTTATGTTCTAGGGTATTGTCAAAAACAATAAAGCAATAATTGGCAGTTAGTAGAGGCTAACAGCTAGGTATGATACCCCAAAAAAAGAAGACAGCTTAAAATAGTGAAAGGGGCATAAGCAAGTCAAAGAGAACCCTGCTAAAACCATTGTCATTTCAGGGTGAAGATGTGCATCCTAGGCTATGCCTTCTGAGGAGTGACATTAGAAATTACACACTCTGGGGAAAATGAATTACATTAAAACAGTCCAGCTAAATCACTGAGTAAGTAGACAAACAAACAATAACAACATGTTCTGAAGAAAAGAAAAAATGTGTGACTTGTGTACAGGAACAAAAACAGGCAATAGAAACTGCCTGTAAGAGGGCCTAGATCAGTGGTCGGCAAACTCATTAGTCAACAGAGCCAAATATCAACAGTACTTCTTCAAAATAGACATGCCCAGGCCGAAAACCAGCTTCTGCACATGGGCCACAAAGTTTCAATCTCACTGTACATGCACGCCCGCATGTGGTATTCTATGGAAGAGCCACAGACAAGGGGCCAAAGAGCCGCATGTGGCTTGCGAGCCGCAGTTTGCCGACCACTGGCCTAGATGATTGTTTCACAAGATAAAGACTTTAAAGCAACCATCCTATATAATAAAAGGGTAATATGCAAATTGACCCTAACAGCAGAACGACTAGGAATGACTGGTCACTATGACACACACTGACCACCAGGGGGAAGATGCTCAATGTAGGATCTGCCCCCTGGTGGTCAGTGAGCTCCCACAGGGGGAGCTCTGCTCAGCCACAAGCCAGGCTGATGGCTGCCAGTACAGCGGTGGTGGCAGGAGCCTCTCCCGCCTCCTCAGCAGCACTAAGGATGTCCGACTGCAGCTTAGGCCTGCTCCCTGCAGGTAAGTAGACATCCCCCGAGGGCTCCCAGGCTGCCAGAGGGATGTCTGACTGCCAGCTTAGGCCCAATCCCCCAGGGAGTGGGCCGAAGCCAGCAGGTGGTCATCCCCCAAGGGGTCCCAGACTGCGAGAGGGCACAGGCTGGGCTGAGGGACCTCCCCCCTTGAGTGCACAAATTTTTGTGCACCAGGCCAGGCCTCTAGTCTATATATATAAAAGCCTAAGTAACCAGCCAACCAGCTGGTAGCTATGATACACACTGACCACCAGGGGGTAGAGACTCAATGTAGGAGCAGAAACCACAGGCATGGACACATGGAACAGACTGATGAATCGCAGGAGGAAGCGGGAGGGTGGTAAGAGATTAACCAAAGATCTTATATGCATACTAGAGGCCCAGTGCATGGATTTGTGCACTGGTGGGGTCCCTTGGCCTGGCCTATGGGGATCGGGCTGAAACTGGCGCTCCGACATCCCCCCACAGGGTCCTGGATTGCGAGAGGGCGCAGGCCAGGCCGAGGGACCTCACTGGTGCATGAATCTGTGCACCAGGCCTCTAGTTATAAATAATTCAGAAAACAAAAGCAAAACTTGTTTCAAGAAATTAAGTATGAATATAATGTACCATCAAATAAATAATATGAATAAAAATATAGATAATATAAAATAATCAAAAATAAATTCAGGAATTGAAAAGTACAATTACATAAATGAAAAATTCATTACAAGGTCCCAAGAGTATATTTGAATGACAAGAAGAGTCAACAAACTTGAAGATAGATAGCAATTAAGCAATATGAAGAACAGAAAGAAATACAAAAGATCCATACAAAGATATATTGTAGTAAAAGGTTGAATGACAAAGACAAATGAAATACTTTGAAAGCACAAGTGATTCAGTATGTACAAGGACCTCCAGTAAAATTAACAACTGACATCTGATCAGAACCCATGGAGACAAGAAACATATTTGCACATTTAAGTGTTAAAAGACAAAAAATGTCAACCAAAATTTTTATTTTTAGGAAAACTACATTTTAAAAATGAAATTGAAAAAGACTTTGCCAGATAAATAAAATAGAGGTGTTTAGGGTGATTTGTTATTAATAGACCTGACCTCCTGCCCTAAAAAATTACTAAAAGTAAATTCTTCAGGATTAAATTAAATATTTCAAAATCACATGGACAAAACAGAGCACTGGTAAAGGTAATTACATACTTATAAAGGACAGTATAAATGCTTAATTGTTCTTCTTTCTTCCCTTTACTGGTCTATAAAGAAATTCTGTAAAACAAAATTTATATGACAATATTACTTACTATTCCTTCAACAGTATAGAATAATAATAGGTTAGGGTGTTGTTTTTGTTTGTTTTAAATGTTTTTTGTTGATTTTTAGAGCGAGAGGAAGGGAGAGGGAGAGATAGAAACATCGATGAGAGAGGAAGTCATCAATTGGCTGCCTCCTGCATGGCCCCCATTGGGATAAAGCCCAAAACCCAGGCATGTGTCCTGACTGGGAATTGAACCGGCAGCCTCTTGATTCCTGGGTTGATGCTCAACTGCTGAGCCACACCAGCCAGGAAAGTTAGGGTGGTAAAACTCAGTTATCTGAGAAAAAAACAGAAGTTATGCATCTTGTATATCTACCTGCTAGTTTTTTATGTTGAATTATACTAGTACTTCTTAAATTTATGTGGAATCATTTTCATTCCTCCTTAAAACCTTCATTCAACTTTTCTTGGTTATCTAAATAATTGTGAATAATAATAAATTGTGTGGCATGCAATTTTTCTACTGTAGTATTGTTCTAACATTCCTTCCCAAACTTATCTTTTGCTGTTTACTATATTGTCTCCCCATATTTCAAAATTATGTTACTTTTGCTGCTTCAAATGGGCCTCTGATGAACTCCCACACCCTTGCTCATGTTCTCTCTACCTAAAATTCCCTCTCTGTCTCCCAGTTTTCCATGTCAAAGTCAGCTCATTCTTCAAGGTGCACTATTGATTATACTTCTGTCATGTTGTGTTTTCTTAACCAGCCAACATTTCCACCTTTGAATCTTGTTTTATTTGCATTTTTATGTGGCATTTATGCTAATTGGCCCCAGGTTATGAATATTTGAGTAATTTTCTCTATGTAACTAAGGATTGCAAGTCCTTTATCTCCAAAATCTAAAAATGCATAAGGAAGGGTTTCAAGACATCAGAATGAGAGTCTCAATAAACTATGATTGAGAGATATTACGCAGAATTCTTGAATTTAATTATGCATGAACACTTTGTGCTTTATCAATATCCAGCAACAAAACATGTTTTCGTACAAGAGAAAACAGAGCATATAGAAGGAGAGGACTGTGGGAACAACAAGTCTCAGGGGGGCCGGGGGGGGGGGCACTAAGACAATAAACATGTCACCAGTGAACGGGTACAACATATGAAAATGATCGCATGAGAAACAGATTCCAAGTCTCATTACCCTATTTGAACTCATGAGGATTTTCAGAGCTCTGTTCATTTTCAAAATAAAAGGCTGCTTCCACCTTTAAGGATTAAATATTCATGCCAGTGAGAGGATAGAGCTGCTTTGAACAAATTCAACCCCTTGTGGTTAACAGAGAAGATGCCCAGGTCTTGACCTTGTTTGCTTCGGGTACCATGTTCATTTAGGCTTCCAAACATTAAAAACAGGAAAATTGTCAATTTGTGTACATTTTAAAAATTAATTGATATCTGCCTCCTGAGGTCAAATATTACTTCCAGTATTTTTCCAGTCATTCAATGTTTCAAAATTTTATCTTCAATGGTCTATTTTTAAAGTTCTGTTAAACTTAATAATGTTCATTGTTCACAACAGTGCTATAACTCACATCTGGAGCACTACAGGATGATGGAAGTCTTTAGAAACTAGTCGTTCTTTTAAAAAATCAAAACATGCAGCTGTGGTACTCACAGAACTATATTGTTCTTCTGAAACATGGGGAAAATGTTTAAAGTCATATGACAGGTTATTATTTTAGTTAATGTGAAATGTTCATTTGACAAGCTTATTGAGTTTTATTTGTGTACATAACTCCATAGCCAACCTATAGTTTATTTCATCCCCTTCCCCCTCACAAACTGAAATCAACAAATGTACCATCTAAAAACAAACCAAAACAACAACCACAATGACAAGAGAAAAACACCTGGAGTATTAAAGTGTTTTAACTGGTATGATTTACGTTAATGGTGCGGAAGAGAATTTTTTTGGTTCTCAAAAACATAACAGGCAATTGATGTGCCATATTGCAGTATGGTTTTAGCTATCAACATGTCAAGATTCAGTTTTGCTGTTAACATTTTACAATTTAGAAGGCTGTAAGAATATGTGCAGTGTAGCAACAACACAGGCTTCATTCCCTCAGCTATATTTATTGGGCTCTCATTCTTCCCCCTCTCCCAGAAGAAATTGAAAAATAAAGAGAGCAGAAGAGACAGACAGGCATCCACTTACTATATTTCATTTTCTTTATTATGTCAAGTAATGAGAAATAAAGAGACAGAAAACCGAGTTCTTAATAGCCTATGCTCAGACCAAAGAAGATTCCAGACAGAGGAATCACAGTCTATTTTTATTGGTTTATTACCTCCAACAGATAATTTAACCATGTCAAAGAATATACCACTTGATCCCAGACCCTCATCAATTACAAATGCCCCAAGGTTAAGGATGTACTGGCATGCTACTGGATTTAGAGTTGATGGTGATGTCACATATACAAGTAACAGTGAGTAAGAAGCAGGGGGATATCATCAGAAGTCACTAATATTGTCCTTTAAGCTTATTTTTACTAGATAACGGCTTCAAATGACATGACTAGACTGCAGTGAACAGGGCTAAGTTGATGTATAAAGAAAAAATGAATGTAAAAGACAATCTGTAACATAAAGAACATACCTACTTTGTTCATTATTTTCTGGCTCTAATCAGATAATGTACATTCAATACATTCAATATTGGTGATACTGAGAGTATCAATATTCATGTAACCATCAAATTTCAAGTTCAATAGCAGACACAAAGATGGAAATTGATATTATGTACATATATGCATTTCATGACCAAGTAAAATACTTTAGACTGAGCATACAGTTTTAAATGATCCTGCACAATGAGCCAGATGGAGCTATTTTTAAAATACTTCTATTTTACAGCTTTTTGAAAGGAAGGATTTTCCTTTTAAAATGGAATCAACTATTCATCAAAAAGAGAGAACATTATGTTCTTGGCTTAGTTTTTCCATAAAGAACTCAACATAAACAGAAGAAAGAAACTCTAGAATGTGTGTTTTATTTCCTGTGCATGCAAGATTGGAATCA